TTAAGCTTGTCATACGAAGTGAAACGGAGCCAAACGTTTTTTGGGCTGGGCTTTGATCATAGAAAAATAAGATGCCCGGTGACCCTAAATTTTTATTTAATTCCCCATAAAACTATCTTTGCTTCCTGTTTCTGAAGGCCCATTCTTTTATTTTTTTTTAAATTTAGGTTCGTCAGACCAAGCCAAAGGAGCATGATCCCGGGAACCTTTTAAAAATATAATACTTGTGGGGGAGGGGGGTATTTCGTTGCAGCGGGTGTGAGAAACCCGGGGGTTTTTGCAACAAGACGGCACAAGACACTGGATACCACATAAATCTATGTTGGACCTAACCCAAGTAGGAGTGACCTAACTAGCAGAAGTAGCGGGACATGACCCACAAATGGTAGGTAGTAGAGATAGCCTAGAATGGGTCTAGCCCATATGGCTCAGTATTCAGGTTAAAGAGTACAAGAATATATAAAAATAGGGATGAAATTAAATCACGCTCGCTTACAGAAACTTGGGACACGGAGTCAAGAGCTGGAGCTCAACACCTGCAATGCAATAAGCTAAGTAACTAATCATTAACACTGGAACTTGTGACCCCAATATTTTAACCAGTGTCAATACAACGTCAAGCACTACTTAAAATTCTCTCTAACGGTATCAGTCTCGTGTACACATGTGTGCGCGCGTATGTACTCACCTAGTTACTCACCTAGTTGAGGTTGCAGGGGTCGAGTCCAAGCTCCTGGCCCGCCTCTTCACTGGTCGCTACTAGGTCACTCTCCCTGAACCATGAGCTTTATCGTACCTCTGCTTAAAGCTATGTATGGATCCTGACTCCACTACATCGCTTCCCAAACTATTCCACTTCCTGACGACTCTATGACTGAAGAAATACTTCCTAACATCCCTCTGACTCGTCTGAGTCTTCAGCTTCCAATTGTGACCCCTTGTATCTGTGTCCCCTCTCTGGAACAACCTGTCTCTGTCTACCTTGTCTATTCCACGCAGTATTTTGTATTTCGTTATCATGTCTCCCCTAACCCGCCTGTCCTCCAATGTCGTCAGTCCGATTTGTGTGTGTGTGTGAGAGAGAGAGAGAGAGAGAGAGAGAGAGAGAGAGAGAGAGGAGAGAGAGAGAGAGAGAGAGAGAGAGAGAGAGAGAGAGAGAGAGAGAGAGAGAGAGAGAGAGAGAGAGAGAGAGTGTGAGTTTAAATGGTCCAACCTGTACTCGTCTTCACCTACCACCTACATAAATAATTGGCACACCTTCGGGAGCTGCAGCTGCTGCTATTAGTATTACAGCTATTGTTATTGCAGCAGCTGCTAATACTAGTCCCCTCCTTTAAACCCGTAGAAATCATTCAGCACCTGGGGAATGAGAGGCATTCAGGTACGATCCAAGGAATTGGAGGATAATACCAGTTAACTGAATCAGAGAGCCCCTCAGCACCCACGTACGCAAGCTAACACATCAAACAGCTAAAAGTAATTTTAATTTGGATTTCATGCTAACTATAGCTACTGGTGTTTTAACTATACTGGTGTTTTAACCTTAATGATTAAACTATATTGCCGTTTTAACTGCATAAGTGTAAACTCGAAAAAAAATCCATACAAAATATTGATTTTGAATTGTAATACTAGGATATTTTATGAATTGTAATATCAAGGTATCAAATAAATTGAAAGAGACTTGTACAAAATCATTAAGGAACAAAAAATAAAAGCAATACATTAATAATAATAATATAATATCTTTATTTCTACAAGTACATGTACAACGTATACAGACCATAGCTGACATCAATGACATACTGCTATATAGAAAGCTGCTTGTTATGCTAAGCATTTCGGGCAAATTATGTCAGTTTTGTCCCAGGATGCGACCCACACCAGTCGATAACACCCAGGTACCCATTTTTCTGATAGGTGAACATAGATAACCGGTGTAAAGAAACGCCCAATGTTTCTACCCTCGCTGGGAATCTAACCCAGACACTCGCCGTGTGAAGCGAAAGCCTTTAGCCGTCAGGCCACGGTGGAAGAAATCAGAATCAAAGAAATCAAGTTTACGGAAATTATACATAAAGCTGAAAACTTGCTATAACAAGATCACAAGGAACAAATCCTGTCCTAAGATTATAAGTACTATAAGACCACAAGAAACGAGTGCTGTCAGAAGACAAGCACAAATCCTGCTACAAGAAGCTTCAAGAAATTTCCTACTATAAGAAGGCCACTAAGAGCACAGGTCATCGCTATAAGAATCAGAATACCACAACACATTAAGGAATTCGACAAAGGTGTGCGGGTAGCAGGTGAAGTAATTATGACACGCCTCAGAGTCTCTGCGCGACCTTCAAGTAGGACAAGGTCGAGTGGGCACAGAGGCAGCGGTGGAGGTCGACTGGATGCTGCAGCCAAGGGTGAAGATAACATTTGTGTGATGTCTCACTGTTGCTCCAGTCACTATTATACAATATGGCAATTTTCACGATACTATGAAATTCACTACGAAATCGAAATCCGTCCTCAAACAGTAATGTTCGTTTTTTAACTCGTTAACATGGGTCATTTTCTTAACGATTATACGGTGGAGGGAATTAATAAGAAGCGAGGTGTAGCATGGCTGGTCATTCAACTCACTCCCTTCAAGAGGATGCTTTCATTATAATGAAGGACTCCTGGTCCAAGAAATTGTAGCTATCCCTCTCCTTCCTTGGAGAAAACCTGATTACCTCGCATTCCTCATCTCTGCGATTTTAGCGCATATTATGATAATCCTCCCTCTACGCCTTGTAAGCTTGTGTCAAAAGTCCTTCCTGCTGGGAAAGTCGGAAATGCCAGTGATAAGGGAACCGATTAGCATGATTAAGTTGTGGAGGTACGAAGCACAGTGCCTGAACTGGAAGATGGATGAGATTCAGTTATTTGAATTATGTGACTGTGTATTTCTGGCAAAACAGCTTGGATAATGCTTCCTACTTTGGCTCACCTTTCCTTAATGGGAAATTACCGTTTTTTTTTAATGCTTATGTCTCGACCCCTCCCTTCCAGTTACTCTACCAACGTCACTGATACCAGCTCTCAACAAGCGTTACAAAGCCATTTTAACGTGTACTTGGCCAAGCATGTCATGACAACCCGTAACAATGCGGAGTGGTGACAGATAGCGTTTCTCTCCAGATCGAATCTCCACCAGTCCATAAGCAGCTTTAATGCGTAGGTATGATAGGGTCCATAAAATTAGGGATAATGTGTTACCGTTCGTGAGTATTCGAGAAGCGGGGGTCCAAGGAGCAGGTTCTAACTCTACTCCCTTAACCAGAGTACAAATAGGTGATACGGGTTTAGCACTTCATAAGTAAATAAGACGGGAGAAGTATTTGTTAGTAGTTCATTGTATAAACTTGTTTTGCTCGTTAAATCCTTTTTCACTTCATGCAGGAAGCAAACATCATAAACAGTTTCATAGGTGCATGTATGATCGGGCCCTGAGAGCAAATACGTACTAGTAAAGCAGGTCGATAGGAGTTAAGTGGAGCCAAGAACTGCGAATCAACCCATGCAAGCACAACTATGCCAGTATGACGCACTATGCCTATTAAATTACACATTTTCAAGTGCGTAATTTAATATACACACTTTTCAAGTGTGTAATTTAATATACACACTTTTTAAGTGTGTAATTTATTGTACACTTTTCAAATGTGTAATTTAATAGGCATACAAGGAATACAGGACACAGTTCTATCACGTAAAATAACTGCTAATTTTTTCACAAGCTGAGTAATTAAGATAAAATCGACATTATACATTCAATTTCCGAGTTAAGAATAGGGTATTTAAGAGACTAATATAAACCAGCCACATATTGTGGCAGATTATATTCGCAAACAACGCTAAACACGTTAGAAGTATAGTATCATTGGACTACACCTAATATATATATATATATATATATATATATATATATATATATATATATATTATATATTATATATATATATAGTAGTGTAGGTACCACCTCTAGAACTGTCCTGGGGACCCTCATCCTCAGAGAAAAGAATAAACTTGCCTCAGGAAAAACTCAGGTTCTCTCCCTGAAGCTGTTTAAGAATTTTCTCCTACCACCCGTATATTTCAAGTTATATATATATATATATATATATATATTATATATATATATATATATATATATATATATTTTATATATATATAACTTATATATATATGTTAAATAAATGCTACATATGTATGAATGCTTATGTTCTAAAATATGCTTATAGATGATAGGACCACATGGTAGTTATATGGGGTACCTTATTACGTTTTCCATTTATTATATTGTTGAAGTATTTCTTATCATTATCATTACTATGTATCATTTAATACACATATGTATGATTATTAACCATGCGTATCGTGGTGGTAAGTTATATTAATTAAACCAAACTGATCTGCTGCTGCCTTACTCTATATAAGTTAAAATAGGAATAAAAACGTTATCGTTACACACAGGATGGGTTTCTCATATCAAGTGATGACATCTGTAAGCCTAAGCATTATGATATTCGTACACTAAAGGTTTGGTAGCTAGTTGCTAAGAGACGTTCAAATGTTTCTTTCCAACAGTGCTGGAATTACTATTACTTTGAATTACCGTCTCAGGATGTTCATTCCATGGATGTTCAGATGAGGAAAGGGATTGTATCAACAGCCTAATAATACACTAAAATTATATAAGTATATACATATATCATACATGTTTAACATTATGATAAGAGGGTTTAGAGGATACACAGTGTCACTGCTAGTGCTACAGATCTCAAGACCTCCAGTTGATGCCTTAAGACCCCAGGTGGGCTCCAACTGGGTTTGCGCATACCCATCACGCCAGTTCATACTAACGTAACACTCGCACACTGTCGAGACGTAAATGCACACGGACTCCCCAAAAAATTAACTCCACAAGCTTGCAGGAATACACTAAAGAGCTCAGTTCATACACAAAAACCGCGCAGAGAACAGATGTACAACGTCCTTCTCAAGTGAGTTCTGGAGGCGACTAACTGTACTCCAGCCCTCACGGCTCACTGACCCGACCCTAAACCCGCGTATGACGTGGCTCAGGTACCAAGTGCTTTATTATTCTCAATTGATATTATTTACTCACACTACCTCCACATACGCATCTACGCAGCTTCCTATTTTGTGATACGCAACGTCAACACCAAACGCCTTAATACTCCTACGCAATCCTACATGACTGTCAAGAAACTTGAGATATATTGTGTAAAAAAAGTAGTATTCTGCAGTATGATCAAGACCAGTGGCATCAAGTAGTCTTGAAGCGTTTCCATGGATGCTATTCAACATCTCAGACCAGCACTCATTTAACCCTCTTTATTATGATTATAGTAATAGTTAATGGGAGGTGATAAACTCATAAGGGGTCATACATTCTCTACACAATGGGGTGTAATCAGATTTGATCCGTGGAAGGGGAGAGTAGCTCTAATTCTTAAGATATATAGCCATTCATCAGCATCAAGACATCCCACCCTTGAATGGTAGCTCCTCCCTCGTAGCCGTTTCATACCATATTCAAAAACATACATTCAACTTGAATGATTTATATGTTGCTGCGTTTACAGGTGTGAAAGGGTAGAGGTTAGTTCAGGTGAAGGTTAATAAGGTGCAAAATTGAAGTTAAAGTTAGCGCAATACATAGCTTCCTTCGAAATCTCAGAGTGTGCATTAAAGGTGGGAGTTTCGGCGAGGAGGCCAGTTAAGGCGTGTTAGAGCATTGTAGATGTCGGAAGCTATTTCTGCGTGCTCTCTGAAAGATGAGATGGTTTATTAAGATGGTGAACTGACTGAAACCGGGCAATCCTCCGGAAGAGGCGTTGGGTGTTACTCCATGTGGTATCCGTGTGTTAGCAGTGGAAAGATGGCCAAAAACAAGTTATTGTTTTCTAACTTGAGCTAACGTTTTTGTAAGCAGTTTCAAAATTATTGACAGAGTGCTTGAATATAATCTGAGAAAGGAGCACCTGTGAGGAAGGCTGGTAGTTCAGGTAGCCGAGTCTGTGGTCATCGTCCTGGACACACATCGGAGTGTCCTGGGACTATGATATGTAGAACTGACCCACATATAGTATTCCTTCCTCTTCCCATCTGGTACTTTCCTATTTCCAGTTATTTTTGCAGGCTTGACACATTATGATATTCACTGGGAAGCGTTAAATCGTTGGTCATACAGTGCCTGGGGAATGGGAGGTAATGAGGTTTAGGTAATTCCTTGGAGCAAGAGCCCTTCACTGGTATTAAGTGCAGGTTTGATAGTTCTTACGTTCCACCTCAACCTTCAATTGACTGCTATATTTTTTCTTTAGTACAATTTCATCAGAGCATAAATTCTTATTCCGGGAGAAATTTAGGAAAAGTTTTCACCCGCCCACGGAACACTTAACATGCTAACCTGAATAAACACTAAGGAAACTGAGTCACTGCCAGAAAATGACAGGAGTAAAAGGGGGATACTCAAAGCCAGCAGTATATATTTTTTTTTAAAGTACGGGATCAGCCACACCTTATTACATAAGACCCCTGCTAAATTCTAAAATTCTATCAATTTAGTGAATACGTGCTAAGGTAAGGTGATACACTATACCAACAGTATAAAAATAATGCACAATACGGGTTATGACATTTTACTTACTTACTGAAGAGCCGTTGTCCAGTGACGTATTCACCGCACAGAAACGGCCCAGTCTCTGTTCTATTTGGCTTGATAAAGCCCGTAGTGGACGAAACGTCTTCATAATAAAATACCTTAACCCGTATTGTGTTTTATTTGCACAACACTTGCTAAATATACAGATTTATTACGGTAAAGATTTAAAACTATTTGAATAATTACTATTATTACTTAATCGTGTTAAGAAAAAGTCGGATGCTCGTTTTTTTACTGTTTTATTGTGCTTCAAGTTAGGAAGCATAAAAAAATAATCGCGATAACGTGGCTGAAAAAAAAATCACAACCCCTAATTTGAGGAAATGTTTTATGACGGTTACTCTAGCCTATCCTTGACTCTGAAGATACTGAAGCAGATTTGGTATTTTAACCGTACTGCAAGAAACTACAGGAAGGTAGGCAGGTATAAGCTACTCCATTATTGATTACTCCCAGTATTCAGAAGGCTTTCAGATACGAAAAAAAATATGTGCAAGGAAACAATTCTAGGAACAAAAAATGAGACAAAGATGTCGAAGAGAAAGTTTAGGACAAGACCCAGAAGACAGCGATTTAGTTCCAAAAACATCTGGTAGGGAGAGTCTCCATGAAAATGGGACCGAGAAAGATTTTATTCATCTTAGTCACATGATAATCACTAAGTGGAGCTTTTGTTCATGAGACAGAAGCCTTCACTCCTTATTTTTTCAAACGAAATTAAATTTAATTAAAGCATCAGTGAACAAACACCTGAACATAAGGGTATTCAA